CACGTTGACAATTAGTTCTAGAAAGAATTGTATTGTTTCTCGTATCGTACGTTTGGGCACGAAAGGCGCCTCTATTCCTTAGAACAGTGTGCGCTCCGGCATTTTATTACGATTCTCAGCCAACGGACCCTAAGGCCGACGCTACCAAATCACCATTGACTGTCAATCACGATCATTACCATTGTAATCGTCATAATCACCGCAATCGAGCCCTTTTTACCGTGCCTCTGACATTTCTTGCCACGAGGGTCCCCCACGTGGCCATGATCCATGCGTTCGATCCCACGTGACCTCCCCCCCCCCATTCGTCCCCCACGTCATTTTGAATTCTCTCTCTCTCCTCGCACCAAATATCCCCATCTCAGACCAGGCCCCTTTCCCCTCCCACCCTGATACACCCCACGTGCACTTTTGCCAAGACCACGAATCACGTCTCCTCGATGCAGATCCGTCCCTGGACAGCCCTCCGCGAGAGAGGGAGAAACGTTGACTAAAAGTCGAAGCATACGAAAGTTCAAACTCGTGAAATTCCCACGTGTCCTTGTCTACCTTCCCGTACAGCCGGGTTCATCCTTGTCCGTAATGCCGAGGGCATTAGGTACCAGGACGGATGCTCCTCTGGTACGAGGAAAAAAAAATAGAGAGAATTCCTAGAGGGCACGATAAAGGTCTGCATGCATTACGTGCAGCTACCTATGACGTCCGTCTCTCTCTTAGCCATGCAATTCCACCTGCTATGCATCCTTTGCTTAGATACGGAAGGAAACAGCTGACGAGTAGGGACGCGGTCGAACGGCCCGTGAATTCGTTGTGAGCACGGTTTGCTGTGAGCTTTTTTTGGAAAAGGGAGGGTAAGGGGCGGGGAAAGATATCGGGACTCGTTTCCTGCTTCTGGGAGGTCGTGCATTAGGGATAGAGGGGTTCGGGTACAGAGGAAGGGCTAGGAGAGTTCACAAGGGCGAGTCTGGAAGCTTATATCAAGAGGTATCAGGCAGAGTCACCCTTTCGCGTGGTACACGCAGGCCACACTCGGTAAATTCTGTCGGGTCCTTTGTTTGGGTGGCGGGGAGACGTAGAAGAGGGAGAGGGTACAGCTGCAAAGGGACATATGCACTCGTTGGGAAGATACGGCCAGCCAGAGAGAGAGAGAGAGGGAGAGGGAGGACGATAAAGAGAAACGCACGCGTTTGCCCGATATGAATTCGGTGACACGCGCCGAGGTCCAGGGGTGTACTCACCTGGCACCGCCCCAGGGCACGCCCACCTGCGCGATGCCAACTGCAGCAACGCCTACACCACCCATACAATCCACCTAAGGCATCACCTACACCTTATGCTACACTCTTTACGCCTACCTCGGGTCTCCTAACCCTCGACGATGAACCACCTACCCGCCGGGACATCCTGGGGCCACTACTACCCTAGTTCGCTCGCGCGTTCTACAAGTTTTGGGATCGGGTCACCGGGTGACGTAGCTCCGCGGGGACGAGACGCGCACTTACAAATCGTGCACGCATACCACCGGCCGGGTCTAGTCTTGACGGAGTTTACTCGCTACCACGGAGACATCGGAGTTGGGAAGTTGGTCGTACGTTATTTATTCGTTATTTGGGAATTCTCGTCCGGGGGAATTACGTCATTGAAGCTTACCCTTCGCGATTTACGAGGCATTTCTCATGTCTCTTTAGCTGCCTGGGAGACTGAGGTCTGTCGCTTGTCCTTTGTGGTACGTAATCTCGTGCGCGGAAAGATTTGTGAATTGACGGGAGGAAAAGGGGGTGGATTTTACATGGATTCCAATACGGGGATTGAAATGGACTGTTGGATTTTTTTTTTCATACGGAAATACGTATCGAGGGGACTTTTTCAATATACCCACCACTGTAGCTCAGGGGTACACGCACTTCCAAATCGTGAGAGAATTAGATCGGATATACGATAGATTAGAAGTGGGGTTATCGACGCGTAATGGGATTTTAATCCGAACGACAGACAAATGATAGCGTATACATGCAATTAGATAATGGTATATATTATTGTATTAAAGAATTTATTTTTTATTCAGTCGTAACGCGTACCATCGGTATACACAATGAAAACCGTGAAGTTAATCGATATTTATTTTATGGCAATTTCACACTGTACGCAGCATATGTACAATACGATATACGTATATCTCGGGTTCCCAAAATTTTAACGGGACACGCTGGTTATATTGTTAACGATAGAATTTATTTAACGAGATCACACCTATACCATTGTCTTACGTATCTAAACTGTTTTTCCCCGTTCGCAAGTGGCCGTAGCGAGACGCGGGTCCCGCGCATTTCGCGTTGGACGGTCGATGCGCAGCGGACCCGCGCACTTTTTCATTTTCCCGTAGCGCGCATGCGCGCGAAGGTAAATAGAAAAGGTCCAAAGAGTAGAACAGAGAACAGACGAACAACAGGTATACGGAAGGTTGGATTTTGAGAGGTATCGCTATAAGGTCAGTGACGTCACTAAGGGATGAGAGAGATAGAAAAAGCGCGGGAAAATTGTCACGTGACGAACTTTACGAAAACGTCACAGTGCTCAAGTTTTGTCGCGTCATCGCCTGTGCAGACGAACGGAATTTCGCATTGATAGTACTACAGAGATATAAGCGTGTAATAGGCTCTCCGTAAGGATAAACGAAACGTGTGGAGTAACGAAGGAAAAATAATTAAAGGAGAGGGAGGGGGGGGGGACAGAGGAAAAAGAGAGAAAATAATATTAGACGAAACCTACGAATTGTTATGTTTTCTACAGTAACGTTTGTACCGACTTACAACAAGATTTCTACGATATATGAATAACGTATAACCTATACGACATAGGTATACCCAGATGCAATAACTTTTTTAAACGGTGTTACCCAACGGAATATTTTTCATACAACGTCAAAACTTCGATTCGTCGCAGGCTGCCACAATAAAACATTTGAAGCACACGCGCGCCCCTCGCGGGATAAAGGATACTCATATTTCGTTTTGTGCCAACCAGTCTTGTAGGATTTTACGTTTTCTTCTTTACTCCTTTACAATCGTATGATAACGAAGCAATACCGATAACATAGCCATCTTGTCGTATATACCTGTCATCTCGAACCTCCACGTGTTAAATGACAGAACCACACGCATTGCTCCCTAACCTCACCTGTCACCAAGTGCTAGTAGTCAATGATATATATGTATATATATTTAAAGAAAAAAAAAACTTAACCTTTTTGATGCTGACCTTTGACACGATCCTGAAATTTATATCTCCTTGTACCACCATTCCGTAACAAAAAACTTTTTCGAAAAATCCTAAAAATTTTTTCATTTTTCACCAATTTTCAAAATCTTCGTTGTTCACTCCTATTTTCAATTGTCACTGACAGTTCGCGATATCGCGCCTAAATTTATTTCTCATGGATCGCGGAAGCCGTCCCGACGTCTTCCGGCGTCGATTCACATTTTTCTCGCACAGTTCGCGGAACGTCTCGATACGACCTTGCTGATACTACTATTCCGGGTCACAATACGACACGTACATGCATAAGCTTATCGACGTCAGATTTTATCCGAGAGGCTTTAAAGTAACGAGAAGCGACGCGTGCATTTTTTTTCATCTTTATCTGTTTATTATTCCAACTTTCCCTCGATCGTATCGTTATACAGCGAATATATCCTGTATCTCGAGTATTCCAAGAATTCCCGCGCTCTTATAACGCACGGGAATGCATGGAGTTTATATCTTTCTTTTTTTTATCTTCCATTTGAATTTTTCGTTTTTTTTTCATTTTTTATTTTTTTTTGATATTTTATCTCTCATGATAAACCTCGATGACCTAGTTCCTTGTTTCCTTTATTTTTTTTTTTTTTTTTTTTTTCATTTTCCCTCACTACCCCGTAAGGAAACCAATGCAATCAGCAGTCACTATTTGCAAAAATATCATTCAGATTAATACAGGCACGCACACCGACCATACATACGTACGGACAGATACGTCTGAAACTTGGTAACTCGTCCCAAAGTACTTATCCACATTTGACTTGCGATTTCGTTTTGGTAAGACCGGCTAATGTTGCGCGGTGTATCTTGCGAAAATTAATATTCGCGTCGAGCGACTAAATTAACAATAAAATCTCGTGTCCGACGAACGAACGAAATTAGCGCAAGCATTGCGAAACAATAAAACGATTCTTAGCTGATTCGAAGAAGACAAAGAGAGAGAGAGAGAGAGAGAGAAAAGGCATCGAAAAGAATTCAGTCATTTTTCGTATCTCAATTCCACGTGAAGAAATTCGCAGGACGCACCGCGTACGATTCTTAGCTGATTCGAAGAAGACAAAGTAAAATCTCGTGTCCGACGAACGAACGAAATTAGCGCAAGCATTGCGAAACAATAAAACGATTCTTAGCTGATTCGAAGAAGACAAAGAGAGAGAGAGAGAGAGAGAGAAAAGGCATCGAAAAGAATTCAGTCATTTTTCGTATCTCAATTCCACGTGAAGAAATTCGCAGGACGCACCGCGTAAAAATACCAGCACTACAGTTAATTTGATGTAACGTAATTCCTTTAAGTTCTTAGAAGAACGAATGCATATCATAGTTGTAAATTAAGAATTTGTCAAATAAAAACTGCAAACTGTTTGTGTTAACGTTACGTCATTAAATCGCAATACAATTTATACATACCATACCCTATACCCGCTTCGAGTGAATAAATAGATCCGAGGCCAATAAATCATCGTAATCGTACATCAATGTCAATCTCCTGGAGGATCAGCATATATCTGGGTAAGTTTCGTGGGTGTTCCGAAACCTCATGAAAAATGGTAAAAAGTTTGTCCCTATCCTTTTCCCCGTTGAAATTCTGAATGACAGTCCGTGACCATGAACGACGAATACCTAGAGAGGCCACCGGTGCAAAGACAAGTGGATAGACGTAGAACGATAGAACGCTAAGTAACCCAGGGTCTGTGTGTCTCTAGGTGACTTTGGCTCTTGGACTGGAGGTCGGCGGCTGGGGTGCCCTGGTGGAGCGATCAGGAACCCACGGCGGCAGCAGCCTGCTGGGTCACGGTGGGTTCGCAGGGTTGGCAGGACTGGCCCGTCGCTGCGGCGTGTGTCTGGCGACATTTCCGTCGGCCTGGTTGCTCGAGAGGCACGCGCTCCTTCAGCATGCCGGGCAACCGTCGGACGACAAGCCGTTCACGTGCGAGCAGTGCGGACAGCGTTATCGCTACAGATCGGCCTACGTGAAGCATCGGGAGCAAAATCATCGGGCTCGGCTGCCGGCTGACAAGCTCTTCACCTGCGACGTCTGCGGCATGCAATTCAGGTACCTAAAGTCATTTAAGAAACACAGATTAAATCACGCCCTGGAGCGGCTCCAGAGAGGACCGGAGCACCAGGCCGGACCAGCCGAGAGAAGCGACCAGGTGTCCAGCACCGGTGAACCGTCTCAGATGGAGACCGGAAGTGATACCAATCCCGGGGACGGTGAGGAGCGGGTTCAGGAGATCACGGAGAACACGCGCGATGAGACCGTCTCGGAGACAACGAGCGTTCAGGATAATCCGGAGGCTGCGGAGCTTCAAGTTGGTAGCGGAGTGGTCGGTACCGGCGAGACCAGCGAGATCGGTGACGTAGACGATGGCAACGTGGACGACGAGAGGAACGAACCCACCGACGCCATCTTGGGTCTGATACGTGGTCACGATCCTGACCGGCGCGAAAGACGCTTCGCTTGTCCATTTTGTGGTAAATGCGTCAGGTCCAAGGAGAACCTGAAGCTTCACGTTCGCAAGCACACCGGGGAACGGCCCTTCGTCTGTCTCTTCTGCGGGCGGGCGTTCGGCGGTAAGAGCGACCTCACCAGGCATCTTCGTATTCACACCGGCGAGCGTCCTTATCATTGCGAAATGTGCGGCAAGTGTTTCGCCCGCGCCGATTACCTCTCGAAGCATCTCACCACGCATATTCATCAGCGCTAATAATAACGTTAACGATCTTACGAGCGAGCCAGGGACGGGTGATAAGCGCGAGATGCCTGGTGCAACGGGAAGGAGGAGGATCCTGAAGGCGAACCGGAGGGGGAATGGCTAAAGAGCGAAATGCAAAATTTTTCGTGAAAAACAAAAATTTTTCGAGCACGCGACCGACGGTGAGAGACAAAATTGAGATAATTAAAAAAAAAAATGAAAGAAAAAGGAAAAAAAAAGGAGAAAAACGAATCGCATCCATCCAGCCCAAATGGCCCAGAAGAAGACGCGTCAATTAGCACACGGGCTACGTAAGACGGTACTAATCCCTGTAACGTTTCTTCGCGTTACGACGTATTGGGGATTCGCCATATTAAAAAAAAGGAAAAACCCACGCCGTACACCACAGAGAAGGTTTACCATATTATGCTAGTGAGAATAATTTGTGATAAGGATCTAAACCAAAGAAACGCGACGACGCGGCAGGCGAAACAACGGTGTCAAGCTTTTTCTTTCCTGAAGAGTGATATAATATAGTAGGCTATCCACATATATATTTGAATATTCGTAACGATAATGATAATTTTTCTATGCGCGGTCCATACAATGGCGCCGCGACGATTAGTGGTTAGGACGACGTCCAGGTGGAGACGCCGCATAAGCGACGTGTGCATGGAACGGAAGGATCCCAAGTCCTTCTGGACAGTGTGCCGGTGCCTTTGAAATCCCGAATCCTTTATAATAGATAGCAATAAATTTCGTTTCTCTCTCGGTCCTCCTTCCCGGAATTGGGTTCGTAAGTTACACGGATTCTCGCGAGAGGCGCTGTGAACACCATCTTCATCATTATCATCGACTATCGCCACGAATTATTATGGTCATCGATAAGGACCATCATCAACCGCCAAGATCCTCTACTCGCTCGCTTCTGTACAAAGCTTCCCTATTTTATTGTCCGTTTAAATCGTTACCATATAATAGAGCTAAATGTGTGCACGTTCAAGTCGCTCAGCGCGTTGTTACTAATAGACACTTTTTATGATAATGTATATATATACACACATTTATTATATGTATGCGTATATATATATATATATATAATCTTAAAATTTCTGCTCCTCAATGCTCGCGCGTTACTGGAAGCAAGATAAACGAAGTTGAATAAAGGTGCTACCTAAGGATTAAGGTCGATCGTGACGTACCGGCCGGCAAGAAGCACTTCTACAATGTTTATGTTTAAAACGTCCACCGTGCCAAATTATGAGATAAAAATGCTAGTTTCGATCTACGGACAAGAGGAACGTAAGCAAGGAAAATGGAGTTTCAAGACGAGAGGAAACGCGCATGCGCGAGAAATGTCAAGCGTCCATTATTCGAGGATCCCTCCAAGAAGTCAAGACAAACCGGCTCGGTGCACGCGTGAAGACCAATTAGTATGTTTAGGATAATTTGAAGGGAAGAGAATATAAGAGTTAGGATAGCGTATTGAGAGGAAACATACGGAAATGGGAAGATCTCGAGGCAGCGGCGTTTATTCGGCGCTATTTTTATTTTCCTCGTGCGCTTTTGTTCTCTCTGTCACTCTGTCTCTCTCTCTCTTTCTGTTACGCGATACCTTCCCGTCATTTGCCTTTCTCTCTTTCTTTCTCACGCCGAAGCTCCTCCCATTTTCGTCAGTCGTTGACAAAGGATACACTCGCGGTAAAAGTGGGTGAAAGAAGGAAAACTAGAAAACAAAGTGTGAGGCCACTGCAAAGGGAAAACACGTGTGCAACGAACAGGAGCGACCTCGTAGGAACGAGAAACGACACACGTAAGTCGACCTAAGATTCCTCTTTTCACGCTTCTCGTTCTTACGCCATTGCATCGAATCATTTTCATGAAATGCAACGAAGCAATCGTTTTACGAAACAACGAAAAACTGAACGGTCGTTACGTTGCTCCTCGCGCTGCTAAACAATTCCGTGGCGCCTGGCGTGTCGAATGATTTGACCGTGTTACGCTCCAAGAAACGGAACGAGTAATATATAAACGACACACGTCCACGACATTTCCACATAAGATGATCTAAAGAAAATGATTGAGTCTCAACTTACCCCCTTTCTGTTACATCGACTCTGCCGAATTCCGAGCTGTTCCGAAAAAGGTTAAAGAAAAGTATCCTTCTTACAAAATGCACGGTCGCCATCGCGCATCAAACTCTTTTATTACTGACACGTACAAGCTACTCTTTTACCTGAGAACGAGATAAATATATCTCGTCTTATTTATTAACCAAGTCCGCCGATTCGTCTCGTGGTGAGAAAGAACGAGCAAATGGACAGTAAACGTATATATTGTGAATTTCATACAATCGTTGCCGTCGATAATGGCGACAGCAAACAAAATCCCGAAAATACTTTTACACAATCCCGAGTGACGATTGGCCACAGCGCGAGACTCGATACTTCCATTTGGATACAAATCACACGACAATCCAGTTGGGTTAAATTGACAGTTGAACAGCCCGAGTGCGCGCGCACGTCCCTACCTACGGGTACTGTCAGTTATACCAATGCAATACCAATACCATACAAACGTGAAAATTCCCTAGAATTTAATTCTCTAATAACTCATCGCAGCCTGATCAATTTTTTATTACAAGATAGAAAATAGTACGCACAGTAATAGCACAGTACCTACGTGGCGCTGCTGTCGCGTCAAAACCTTCCATTTAACTTCTTTGAATGTCTTTTAAGTTTCTCGCGGGATTATACCCATTACTTTTATCACAAAGGGCCAATGAGTACAAAAGACGTCGTTTAATTAGAACGGGACAGGCTTGGTATTAAGGGATTATCATTTGTCGTAGTGCCTACTTAGAAGGCAGCGCTTCAGTTCTATTTTTACGTTTAATTAATAACGTCATGGCCGTCAATTTGCTCTTGCAGTTTTACTCGATGCTGGTGCCGCGGCTTATTCTTTCTCTCTCTTTTATTCTCCCATGCGTTTTTAGACGGTCTAGTAGAAATTTTATTATTTTATTTCTCTCTTACTCTCTCCTCGCTTTCTTTCTCTCTCTCAACTTTCCTACCGCATGTATACCGTCAATGGAACGCCTTCGAAAGAACTCTAGTTAGCCGCCATAATCGTTATACGAAAAATCTTGACTGTCGATTGGATTGACTATTAATAGGGTGTCCTTAATTTTGAACGCCTCAATTTAATGCAGGACAGCCAGGCGTTATGGAATATACGGGCATTTTAAACCACGGTTTAAAATTATAGCTACCTATACAACACCAAGTAATATATATATAAATTCTAATATATGTATATTGTATATATATATATGAGTATATATATAATAATTATATATATGAAAATATATTTAATGAATGTTCCTATATTTATACTATAAGTATATAATAAGTGTACTAGATAAATATTCGATGGTGATTTCAGGTTTTTACCAAAAATGAAAAAAAAAAGTTGTATGTCTGTCTAGATTGTAGAAAGGTGGGATGTTAGCACTGGAATGGAAATTCTGTGAATCATACAAGTTGAACCCAAAGGAGAAACGCGATGATAGGGAATAATAATACAAGAGAAAAATGAAAAAGCAGGTCGCGCAAGGTGAAGGCGAGGCGAGGGTCTTCCTACATTGACTGAACGATCAGATGTGATATACGCGTAAGAAATAATTAATGATTATTTACCATAATCGTATATATGTAATTAATATTACTAGTATGGTTACGATATACAAACATTATATCTATATATTGTGTATAGGTAGATAGGGACGTATACAATGTTTTTAACTGGTTTATCGATGTTCCGAGGATATATGCTAAGTGTATTTAGGTAGCAGGACGTGGTTGACGCTCGATTCAATACGAAGTATCGCGAATTGTCCTTTCTTTTGAATATCAAATGTTATATATTATTGAAAAAGAAAAACAAGGAAAATTACTCGTCTACCATAATTCGCGTTTTGGCCATACATATATAAATTTTCCCTGGCCGTTTCTCCAAGCGAAAGAAACGTCTCACACACTTGCTCAAGAATACCTTAATTTTATTAACAAAAAGTACTATGCTGTAATTATTTATATTTATTGTTATCGATAAGTAATACATAATATTAAGTTTCTGGGATTCGCGATATTCGTCGGAGTGTCGATGCTGCGCAGCCTGGTGGCAAAAATTGAAAGCAGATAGTCATTTCGTGCTACAACGTAATGTAATGTGTATGTACGTTGACAGTGGGCAGTGAGTTCTCGTTCTGGAATATGGTGGAATTAGTACGAGATCGCAATTTACTCGCGTGTTAATCAGTTAATCGAATCGAACAACGAATCAGTGATCGGAGTGAATGGCTTTTATAATCGTGAAGACGAGGTTGCGCCAAGCGTTAGATGAATCGCGTCCGAGACAACAAAGGCGAAGTTTACAGTGACGTATAACTACGTGAATCGGGCGAAGGCACAAAAAAAAGACGGCATGAGATTTCACGTTCCGTGCAATAATAGTTTGCTCAATCCTCGGTGTCCGTCGTTTCCGTCCGTACGGGACGACTACGTATTGTAGGTTATGTGCGAATTAGTGACAGTGTTAATAGCAAGTGGGATAGGATTAATAGGCCGACATTAAAACGTAGCCGAGTTAACTTTCTTCCCCTTTCTTCTCCATTTCCAGTCTCGATGTTTTCGATGTCTATTCTAAAGCGAAACAAAAAGAACAAAAAAAATTGCATTACTAAATAACCCCTTTATGTAGGTATAACGTGGAACTGTCGTTTCCTTTTTTTTCTTCGTCTTCCTCATCTTCTACTACCTACTTATTACTGCTACAGCTACTACTACTGTTTACCATTACTATTGCTACTATTACTATCGTTAGTACACTTTTTCTATCGTCGTTTGATAAGATAGAGAAAATGAGAATTTAGAAAACACAATACACAGCGTGGTTGCAAAATAAATCCACCGCGACTTCCATAAATGCAACGAGCGTCGCAAGCGATACTTTTTATTCGCTCACAGTGAAATCGCCCTTCGTTGTCGTCGACGATAATGGGAACACATAACTTTTGTACCTATTCGATAAATCATCCTCCATATTACGACAAGATACAAAGGCACAAGGAATGGAAAACAAAAACAGTCAGGAAATGATGAACGACGAAAACAAACCCGACGATCGCGCCGACGAAAAGCGGTTAAACGAAAAGAGAAAAAATAAAAGAAATGTATCGTCGGCGACGCGGACTACAACGATAACTGAGGACGGAAACATGAAGACAAAAAACCAAAAGTGCAAATATTCTAATAATACAATGACACAGGCGTCTTCCGTCAACGATATTCCTAACCCCTTTATTTTCCACGCTAATTCCTTCCCTTCACGTCAAGCCAAAAGGACGTCGACGTCCACGAGCGAACGAGGCTCGAAATTTTACACAACACGAACCGACGTCGCGCGTCGTTTTCTTGGTCGTCGGCGTTTCTATCTGTCTGCATATTGACAAACGCAAACGATTTTGCAATCACCCTGCCAATGCAAGGAACTTCGGTGTGGCCGTGCACTATCACTGTTTATCGTACCTACATAAATAAATAAATATATATATATATATATTATAGAGCATATTCAGACGTACAGCGTAATCGGACGAGTCATAATTATTGTGGCCCGGTGCGTAATAAGTAAATATAAGTAAATGTCGCCGGTCCGATTCGTCGCGTTGCGTAATATCGCAACACGACGTGAATGTTAGAGATATTTTTCAACTTGTACTAAATGTGATAATTGAAGAATTGACAATGAGCAATCTAATTGTAATATAAATATTAATATGATATATCGATGTCTATCGTACAAGCCGTGAATAGATTTTAACAGTTATAGCTATAGGTACGTGTTAGCTCGTAAATTAACGATTAAAGGATATAACGGCCGGGAGGGTGGCTGGTTTAAGGGTCGGGTTGGGTTTTTGAATGGGTGGGTCTTGTCTTCTTTTTTTTTTGTATAGGGAGGGTTGGGTGGATGGGGTTAAGGAGAGGAGGGATATATTATAATTTTTAATTCAACGTGAAAGGAAAAGATTTAATATATACCGTACGCCGTCTCAGATCTGTCCACAATGCTGCGTCGCGACGAGTCGCTCGAGCGGCAAGTGTTCGCCAAACGATTGATCGCGATCGATTTATCGATCGTTTCCATTAATTGCGAATTATGTGTATACGTTCGCGGCTCACGACTCGCTGACGAAACGCTTTAGGACCCGTCGCGACCGAGCGCGTAAAGTTTAAAAAAAAAGTACTATAACTATTATTACCGGTACATTTTACATTATAACCGATTGTTGTCTACGATATAATGTTATTTTTCTAATTCATATTCAATTGTTATTGTTGAGGACGAGCACATCGAATTTTAGACGAAGAATGTATTGCAATTCGGTTGCTGCCTTCTCGAAAGTCGCAGCGAAAAATATCGATGGGCGACATCCATGCGGAAGGATGGAGGGTACCTCGTGCTCGTCGCCACGTGTGTATCGGCCTTAAAGCCGCTCGTTTAATTCTTCCCACTGATTATGCCTAGTTAAATTTACCAAACGGATATTACGTGTTGAGATAGAAAATAAATGTAACGCAAAAACGAACAAATAAAACGGCAACGAATTACACAAAGCATATATAGGTATAACGTACGAGATATGAGAAAACGGCCTTGACCGTTGAGATATTTGAATTATTTTCTTTTCTCTTAACGCTTATGGCGCATACACACGCGCATGCGCACGAGTTACACAAGGCGGTGTAGATGAGTATTCGTAAAAAAAAATCTCGATTTGAAAGTTGCATAAGCGCAAAGCCTTGGTCGACGCGTCGGCTTACGACACTGCTGCTGCGGACTCCTATTGTATTTTTTGTAAGGCCCATTTTGCCGCATTGTGATAAACAGTGTCCGCAACAACATCGGAGAGAGCTAACGCCGACGCGTCGTCCGTTTAGCTGGAATGGCGTCGTTGACGTCCCGCGTGTCGTGTCGAAGTATGGCACGATTAAGTAAGGTTACCTCGGCGATGGTGGACGGAAGACTTTTTGTCCAGGTTAAAATTCGCCGTTACCCTTAAAGAAATTCCAACGTGTTCAGTGATTCCGGACAAAGATATGAATTTTCTTGAAAGAATAAAGGATGGAAGAGAAAGAAAAAAGAATTTTGAAGAATAAAAACCTCTTAAATTACCTTTTCGTTGTCTTCCTTCGCCTTACTGACTTTTGAGTTCCTATCTCTTACTTCTGGGAATAAATAAAAATATCCTCCGTCTTCCCATCGCCGTGTTAACCGAGGTACCGAACAAATGTACGGGCGGTGAGACTCGTTCTGCCTCTTCGAAGATATAAAGGTAAAAGAAGAAAGAGTTATATGTCAAAGAAAGAATGAAAAAAATGGAGAATTAAAAGATTGAAGTAATTATTAAGCGTCGTGGCAAGCACGGGTCTTACTTCCTGGTGGTCTGTGATTTAGAAGAGTTTCTGAGACTGCGCGAACAAGGCTGAGCTACTATCTTTTTCGTGAACACTTTTAAACTGCAGATGTTAAATGGTATGAGTCTGGTCTGTCTGTATGTCTCTCTGGTCCCTGGTATCTGCGATGCCAAAGATAAAGTCATGTAGTATGTAATGCTAAGTTAGAATGACGAGGATGATGATTGTTATTATTATCTTGTAACGTTTAACGTATATCAGTGTCGTGCAAAGAGCGGCTGAGCTCCTCGGTGTTGTGGGTATACATACTAGTTCCTAGCAACTCGTATGACGATTACTACTCATACTACTCATAACATTGCATTGATCTACTTTACTCTACTTACTCTAATGATAAATAAATACATTCTGTCCAACCTCAATAGCTGTACTTTTCAATTGTCACCAGTGAAGTTTCTTCTGTCTCCCCTTTTTCTTTTTCCTTTTAAATCCATGACGTTGCTCGATGGAATGCTGCGGTTTTTACATAAGGAAGCAACAGTGTTACTTTATTACACATGTGTAACCGTACAACTGTCAATTACATATTTATGTTACAATTGTGGCTGAACGGTGCTGGCCAATGATTTCTTGCGATCGTTTTATAATCGTTCTTAAAAATATCTTCTGTATCTAGTGTCATGGTGGATATTATTTCTCGTCTAGTATCCGACAATGGACCCGAATCGTGGATCGTGTAATTTTCGATGGCTTTATTTCTTTTAATTATTTTATTTTCAAGTAGCATCTTATTGTTTTAATGATACGTAGTTCAAATATATACCGCACGGCGTCATCTTCCTGGTGCGCACGAAAGAGACGTAAAATCGTAAGGCAAGTTTTTTCACAACGACCAACTGGTGTCAGCAGGAAGAATTTATACTGCGTAATCCATTGTCCGGTAAGTTGGGCAATAATGCTATTTTCATCGGTATTTCTAGTTAATTTCGTTTACGTATGTACAGATCTGACGATTGATAGGAATTATATATACTGAGAGGTAATAACGTGTTGCTTGTACAGCAGAGGGAGTAAAAATGGTCCTCCCAAAATACTATTGTAAATTATTGCTATTACACTATAACCAGGAGGGCCATTATTGCTCGCCAGTGTACCTGTATGTAATAGCGAAGGGAATAATCTAATAGCACTTAGATTAGCTTTTTGAAAAAAAGTATATATAAATTTTGTGCAATAATCGAAGAACCGCATCAATTTACAAATAGGACTTAATACTGTTCGAATTTTTTACCAAGCGACAAGACTTATGGAATACCATACAAAATTTCACGAACGATCCTATACAAATCGTGTGGCATCAATTTGCTATGTTGAATCTAACGATCACGACGGAATAAAATTACAATATTTTATCTAGAAGTTGCGCAAGAAGCAACGCTGCAGGATCAGCGAGACGCGTGGTCTTTAGGGCCCACAAAAATCTCAGCAGACGATATTTTGTATAATATAAAAAAAAAAAGAATTATAATTAACGAGAACTTGTATAACAACCGCAGGTGGTACTAGTTGGCATAAATGCCGCAAACAGTGGGGAATATAATTAGCTTTTTTTGTTTTTCTTTTTTAGTACCTAAAACCATTATGAAAACTATCGCGAATACCGAAAGGCAATTACTTTAATCGGGATAATTATAATAGATTAATAAAAAAAATGGTCCATCTTCAGTTAAATCTTGCGAGAAACTTCCGAGCGAACGTGTTACCTCGGACTTTCGAGGTGAAATCGCGAAGTGACAAAACGGCAACCTTACGCGATTACACCTTTTAATCTTTAATAGCTACCTAACTTTTAAACACCCGCCGTGCTAATGAATTCCAGCATCCTAAAGATATAAAAAGCAATAGTGAAAGCGTGAGTACAAATAACTGGAAATACGGCGGGTCCGACTTAATGAAAAATAACTGTATACGTAGCGGCACGTGTTAGCTAATAATTAGCGAATCCGAATTATTTCACTTAAAATTGCACTGGTATATTGGATACAGTAAAATGCATGAACCACTTTGTAATGGTTGAACGGATGAGCTTTAGTGTATGAGTAGTCGTATTGCGATATCAAATTAATATTTTCGTTATCCGATAGTTTTATTAAAAAAAACATATACTATCATGAATGTTTGATTTCGTGCTTGTAATTTCACAATACAACTACTTTACATTGACTGCCAAAATAAGTAATAGACTAAATGCCAAGTAAACGCTAATTGGCTTGCCGCGAATAAAAATTGTATAAAAGGAAAGTCGACAAATGTTGAGACAAAAGTACAATGACTGTTACGAAAAACACGATTTGCAGATATAAAGATAGAACGATACTACGTATTATCGACGGAGAATTATTAATTTGGTTAGCGGTCTGATAAGATTATCTAGCTTACAGCCGTACTTTTAATTCCTCCATTCGTTGCTTTATTCTCCGTCTCATTTCCTTGTATCTGAAGAAAAAGGAAATAAAATTATTTTAATAAATTGGCTCTTTTTCTTATAGAGAATGGAGATACTTACTTCTCCTTCAGTAAAACAACCTGACGTTCTTCTTCGTAATGATAGCGTTGCAAAATACCGTGACATTCCGCTATTGAGAGATTTAGAAATTGGGCAACATCCGAACTGATCTCGGGAGTCGTGAGTTTATCTACCAGGAAGAGACGCGCCACATTCTCGTGTGGTCCTAAAACAACCCTAACCTCCAAAGGGTATTCGTCTTCTCTCAATCTACGTTGTTCTGCATGGAACAAGGAAATTATGTTAATATATAAAATTAATGTTAAGTGTGTTAAGCCTTAAGTATGCAAGCAGATGATTACCTCCATTATCACGAACCACAAATAGAGCAAAATTATCAGGTTTAGCATCAACTTTATATTTGTCGAGCATAAGATTAATAACTTCTTGAGTGCTCACAAGGCTGGTAACCCAAACAGACATCTGCGAACCATGAGGCGGTGTGAAGAAGCTTGTTTCCCGATTATAAAAATGTCCATTAATAGAACAGCGACGTCGTAGACGGCTGCGTGATTGACGACGACCTCCTGGACGGCGTCTGATCGCAGTTGAACCTTGTTTGCGTCTCAGGACAACACCATCAAGCTCCAATCCACTGTCTGTCGACATAGTCATATTGTCATCGTCCCTAAAGTGTAGAGAATTCACAGAGTCCGTGTCACTATCTGTTCTGTGCCTCTGTAGACAATCCGGCCCAGACATTGAACGATTTAATCCTTTCTCTATCCAGCTGTCATCGTTACTGATATTTCTGCTGCCGATCATATTCTTCTCCAAGCTATCGAAGTACTCCACTCTTCGCAGAGTTCCATTTCTGTTAGGTGTTCCCTGATAATTCGGTGTGTCTGTACTGGAAGAACTATCTATGCTGTGCGTAGGTGTACTGCCGACACTACTGTCATTACCCTTGCCAGCTTGATGACTGGGACTGGTCGCACCGGAGCTACTAAGAGCTTCCGGAGCATCGATACTGGATTGAGCAGATAGTGGTGGAGTTTCAGTACTGGAATGTGAGCTTATAGACGGGAGACTCTCTGGCATTGTTTGGTAGAGCTTATTGCCATCTTCTAATTTACGCTCGACCTGTAAATTCAACTAGTGATAAAGTCGAATTCATGAATTTCAAGGATATAATTAATGGACGGTTTAAGCCACCTGTAACAATTCATCCAATTCATCCCATTCCATAGTTTTAACGTCCAATTTCATTGGCAGTGTTAGACTTTTTAGATGATCCGGAGATGCCGGAATGGAGTTGGGCTCACTTTCCGGTTGTATTTCAGACGGAGACAGATCTTTCGGCGATATATCAGGTTTTTCTTCATCCTCCGTATCCTAAATATAAAGTTGGTTGTTACAATTTTATAATTAATTAAAAGAAACACAACTTTTTTTTAATATTGCTCAACCTCAGACACGCTTCTTCTACAAGAATTTCTATTGCGTGCTGTAACTACAGTACGTTGATCATCATCCTCTTTAAGATGAATGACACCACGTACTCCCCAGTAAATCCTTAGAGCACCTTCTAATATCAATCGTCCATTAACCTGTAAAAAGTTAATAATATATTCATCTTTATTCGAATATAACCTAATATATACTATTTTTTTGACATACCTCTCGACTTCTAATGCCACCACTTTTTCCCTCGTAATACTGATTGAACATTTTTAGTTTCGATTCCAAATGGGATCTATTGATATGAACATTAATTTTATGATTTGTTATTGAAGTATCATGACAATGTGATCTCCTTTTTTACCTGGGCAATGTTGAACGAGATTCTTTCTTTCCAAAACTAGTATGAGATTCTACTCTTGTTCCATGTCCAAATAACTGTGGCCCAAAAAGTGCTCCATAGCACGGCACGTGACAGTATGGAACACCTTTATGCTGTTTATTGCAGTGAGATGTACTCCATTAAGATACAAAACAAAATAGATCGCACAAAAACTACAATATTAATTTTCTTCACCTCAGCATGCTGCCCTGGGTTTAATCTTTTTCCACATTCTTCACACCTTAAACATTCTGGATGCCAGTCATACCCCAAGGATTGTTTCCGCTCCGCTAAAAAATGATATTGCAATTACTAAATAAGAGTAATTGTCACAAGAATAATGTAACAATGACAAGAGAAGATCAAGTGCCTATAAATTATTTTTAATAACAATTAAAAAGCCCGTGTCAGAATACCAGTCTCTGTTCTTAGTCAAATTTACAATCCTATTTTACAAAAGATAAATGAATAATTACAGAACAAGTTATAACCTCTGGCAGAGTGCATTGACCCGCCCCGACTATATATGATTTGCGTCCCATTGAAAAATTACAACTTTTTCTCAAAACAGGTATTGGAGATAAAATATTTCAAAGTCATCAGAACTTAATAAATTCACGATATTCCAAAGTAAAGAAACAGTAGTACATGTCACTGAAAATACCATGAGTGAGCAATACATGTAAATAAAGATTCAGACCGAAATATACGGGTTTTCCACATTTGTGACACTTCCACATGATGGCAAAGAATTACTTTGGCACCAGGAACTTAACGCTGTGAAATCTGGTGTCAAGTGTTAAGACATTTTGTTTACAAATGCCAAGAGACTCATCAAATATATGACACGCGGATATGTCACTACAAGGACTCCAGTGTTACTCCCGTACTTGACTCCCACCTAATTTAAACAGGTTTCCACTAGAGGACGCTAAGAACACGCTTATGAACACGCCCAGAGTATTGGATTCGAGCATAAAGCAATATTAGAGAGAATCTACTTCATCAGCCTCAGAAATTAACCCATTTTAAGAATATAAATAGTGGTATTAATTTTCGTTCATCGCAACATGTGCTCCAGAATCTACAATCCATGATAGATTGAATTTTTTTTTCGGATTCCTAAAATATTTCTATACTTGCAATCATGAACTTGGAGTACTGAACCATCTCTGATAAAGTCGAAATGTATCTTGGATTTTGTAATGAGATCAGAGTTGGTAATAATATTGAAGACGAAATCTATAACTGGGACACATAATGTTGCTTTTGTAAGACGTTTGAAAAACAAAATTGAATAATATTATTTTTATTCCATTATCACAGTTAACTTAAGGCTAATGAAATTATAATAATTCGTCGCAAGACCATTCGTTCGATTTTACTTAAAAAAAAATTGAGTATAACAAATATTATCCACAGCATAACATCGTGTACTCCGTCCCATACGATTATAAATTATTCCAGTAACATTATAAAGGACAGTATGGTATTCATATTTATTTGCAGCAGATCTTGTGCCTACATCGCATTAAGCATATGCGCACTATGAATAATTTTTGGTTCCAAACAACATTCATGAATAGCTCTCCTCATTGTTATCCTGAATTTCGCGTTGATAGGATAATATTTATATTCAACTAATCTGTAGTTATGTTGCATTATTATAAACATTAGTCGTATAGTTATTATAAATTGCAAATGATTATTTATTATGGCTAGGACACTTATAGCGTATCTTCATCACTTCGTATTACACTGCTATCTTCTGGTTTGCAGCAGATGCAGATTCCGCTTTCCAGACCTTCTCCTTGCAATAGTCAACAACCTAAACGAAAAATTATATTGGGAATTACATTAATTATTTCTATTCGGAAACATAATCTGACAATTGTTATTAAGTTTCATATTCTTCGTCCTGGATACTTTACATTGCATTCGGCAGCAACTTCATCGGTAGAACACAAATATGATTTTCCCCATGTGCAAGGCTTTTGACCATAACTATAAGAACGTCGTTTTCTGGGATTTAAATGAGACATCGCTAAATAATCACTGGCAGAACATAGTGCCAACTTGCTACAGATCTTCTTGGTGTCACCATAGGATCTCAGTATATTTATTATACTCTGCTCATAAACTTCCATCAACATGGTGCACTGTATTACATAAAAGCAACAACGAGTCAATACATTCATATGAATTCTCTAAATATCATAGATCCTTCCAATATAATTTTATTATTACCTTCGATTGTTTACTAGCTGGAAGATACTTGCACACTTTCGCAACTGCTTGTTCAATGTCATTATCTATGGTTGGATTAGCGAGTAGTTTATCAATGGCCGATATAATTGCTTGACAAAGAGCGCACTCAGCAACGGATTCTGACGATGAAACACATTTTTTATAATAAATAAACAAATCAATTCAAAATCAAACATATTCAATATGATTATAACGGTGGATACCTTGGATTTTCTGCATATCGGCTTGGCATAAACCAATCATTGTGCAGACTTCTTTGGGCTCAACCTCTTGAGATAGAAGATCAATGACAATATCAGCATACTCCGTAACAAAATCATTACATTCATTCGCAATGGTCTTAGGCAGATAATTGCATACGCCGTGCACAACTTTTTCTATTTCATCCTTGTTTTTCTTATTCTTCAAAGACTTTTCTATATATTGCATAACGAACTCACAAACGACACACTTTGTATCATCGGCCACCTTCTTGTGGGGAACCGGATGTAGTGGGAAGTCGGGGATTTCATTTGTCACTGAATAATTAGTACCCAATTAGTATCACCTGTTATATCTACGTAGTTCATTAATATTCCTATGCTAGAAGAGAAAAAAACACTCACTGATTTCACCATCGTTGTCCAGCGGGAAGAAGTTCGTAGGAACCAATTCGTTTGGCAAATCATCTGACACTCCAGTGTTTTTGCTAGGATCGCATAACTTAATGTATACACACACTTCCTGCGGCGTAAGGTCAGCAATTAGCAGCTCGATGAGTTCGTCGCTGTAAATCTTGACCAAATCCTTGCACTCCTCAGACAAGTCGTTAGGTAAATGAATGCACAATTTGGACAGTGCGTTCCGTATGCTATTCTGTAAATTCATTGAATAATGTAACAATGGACATTCTAAACGAATAAGGTGTATATAGCAAGGGAAATTCATTACTTCGGTTTTGTTGTCCTTAATGACATTGTACAATTGAGTAACAGCAAGGAGACACAGTGGACAACTAGGCTTATCTTTGACATCACTTTCGAGCACCATCTCTTTAGGAATTGTCTCCCAAGCCTCCAAGAAGGACTGTGATGGACATACATGAATCATCGGGCAGACCTATAGAAGAAAATAGTTAAGCGGCACAGACCTTTTGAGACGGTAAACTTCAATGGAATAAGTTGCGTCATACTAACCTGAGAAGGATCTATTTCTTGGGCTAGGATCGCTACTACAGCATCGCCATAAGTGTCTACGAATTGTTGGCATTCACCATGCACGCTCTTTGGTAATTTTTCGCAAATTTCCCCAATAATGTTTTTCACTTTACTCTGTAAAATGATCACAGTATATCGTGAAGTATCAAGTTATGAGAAAAAAAGATGAACTTAAATTCGATTCCCATAATTTTTAAGCATATGAAACATTTACCTCCGTAACTGGATCTGTGATAGCTTCCTGAACATAGTGTAAGAAGTATTCACATAAGGCGCAGGTCTGTTTGCCCTGAGCACCAGTCTGTGGCAATCCAAGATTACCGAAAGGCACATAGAATCTTTCAAGTGGAAGTTGCATTTCTTCTGCTTCCGTATTCTTATGTACATTTCTAATTCCAGCGCCATTTTCCCCAAGATTCTGTTTCTTCTTGTTCATAATTTCAAGTCCAATCTGAGCTGGTTTCTCATGAATTAGTGGCCAAATAGGTCCATTCTCCATAATGAAAACATTTTATATGACATTGTTATTCAAAGGCCTTGTAATTTGGAATTTATAATGTCATAACTTTCAAATAAATACTTACTAAAGCTGAGTTGCCTGGAGCCGGACAAATACTTGCCATTTCACATACGGCATTGCCATTCAGTCCCATTGTTAAGTAAACGTAAATTTCTTTGTAATACTCATCGACGATCGCCTTGCACTGTAAAAAAGAAAAGCATTAGAAATGCACAATATCAATTACTTTAAACCACGAAAATATTCCAAACAAACGTTAATTAATTATACCTCTGTGGCGAACGATCTAGTCTGTTTGCAAAGTCCTTCGAGGACTATCTGGAACTCGTTCATTGTCGTGTTAGCTACCAGAAGATCCCTCAAGTGTGATACCAGTTGTACACACAATTTACAAGGAAGATCATCACTGACCTCGACCATACCCACACTGGACAGTGGTCGAATTTCAACTTCCAAAGGCTGTTAACAACAATAAGGTAATTTAGTGTCGTAAAGAACCTCATTAGGTTATTAATACGTAACCTACCTTCTTATCGTCATCATTTTCATGCTTGTGGAACTTTGCACTGCATTGGCCTGACAAATGACAAATGTTGGCCGCGTTGAAGTTCTCTTGAAGATGCGCATAGATGTCATTGAAATAAGTTAAGATTATGGAAGAGCAGGCATCGGAGTAGGAGTCCATACGACCGCAGACGTGGAGCATCCTCTCCAAAATATTGTCGCGAGATGTATGGGTGAATTTATCCTGCATGTGCGTCGCGATCGTGTAACACTTAGAGCACTCATCTGGTTCCAGTTCATCATTAGCCAAAGATTTAGGTTTAATTTCATCCACCTGACAAACATTAATATAACACCTTGTTGAATAATTCAAGTTCACTTATTATGACTCGTTAGATATTTTCTATAAGACACTAATGTGGTTGTTATATAGAAAGCGAATTTAAAGAATCTCTAGTATAATATTATATGTATAAAACACAGAATACTATACGTAGCATAATCGCAAACACCAATAGATAATTGTTTCATCATGAAACTTCCGACCATAGCCTTTTTAGAAAGTAACAATGATTTCTCAAATCTTTCTAATACAAAGTGAATGCAGTAACTATTTCCTCTTTTTATGACGGTGCATAGCACATAAAGAGCCTGTTTCTTCAGGAATAAGTGTGTCAAGGAATAATTATTACTTCTTTCATTGTGTTGTGATATTCCAACAACAGCTTGTCTATGTGAGCCGAGTTGCAGAGTCCAGCAACGGAACAGACAACAGAGGGGTTCATCTGGGACGCCAAAGTCTCCACGAGTTCAGGAATGAACTGATCTACCAATTTGTCGCATTCTTCGACAATCGGCTTTATGTGGATAAGCGCACAACTGCCTTCAAAAACAAGTTTTAAGTCCTCTTGAGTTTCATTGCTTTCCAATTGATCGCGTGCTTGTTGCACCATATCCTTGCAAATTCCACAGACATCATCTTTGTCCTCAGGAACTGTCATTGATTCCCACACCTTCGAAATACAATGCTTCGTAGCATTGCACCCTGCTGCAGACCTATGGTTTGTCAATTCCAAACAAGAGCATAGATATTAAATAATATTATCACTCAACATACATCACCTATCATGTTTTAAAATAAATTAATATGACTCTGACTGTGATAAATGTATGTGTCATATTATTATTTTGATGACTTCAAGTCCTGCAGAATTTAATGCTTCACAAAGGTTGGAGTGTTTTTATTATTATATGAGATATCATTGTCGAGCGTCATTATTAAAACGTGATATAGAGTACATGAGTCATTGTATATTTTAGTTTTATAAAACACTGGAATCTACTTAACCATCTATATACGTTTCAATAATTATACAAAAGAGGAACGTGATAATTTAGTTAGCTCTCATTTTCTGCAATCAAGCTTAGTGCCAACAGATATCCAATGTTTTGAAAATTTGTTAAGTTGGTATGTTCACCATATGAGTACAAAGTCTCCATATCATATGAACATGAATGAGTCAGCAGTGAATAACTATGAAAAGCTGTTGGAGTCAACTTCTTTTACCTATGGACATTAGCCATGTATGTACAGTAGCTGGCCAAGATAAACACAATTATTTGCGATTCATATGTATGCCATGCCTCACATAGAATGTTTATTTGTAACATATTAATATCAGTTTCAGCATTCCTTCTTGGAAATGATATAGTAACCTAACCAGTAAAACTATATTTATGGTAATTAGATACCTTAATACATATGGTGACATGACATTTGTAAATCATAGTAAAATCTCTAAGTGATTTATTTATACCTTTCAAAATCATAGTTTGTCATTATTTTATTTTATTATTAATAATGTCATATTTTGTTGTTGCCACACTTACTTCAAATCCTGACACCAATATGATGGTCCCCAAGTACAGGCTTTAGAGCCTAAAAGATGAGGTGTTTCCTGTCCCTCCGAATTAATTACCACTCTGGCAGTTGTTACTAAGAAAATATTAAAAACAATATAGCATGCATCCATCTATAATCTATTTTGCTAAGTAGATACATTTCACCAATTAAAATGCAACTCAGTAACAATGTGTGCACAGTAAAATGCAAAGAGAAAGGAGCATAAAATTAAAGAATTAAATTAATTCATTGATTGAATATATTGTTGAAACACGTTTAGAAGTTTAATCAGCAATATCATATGCAAATAAAAAATGAGTGTTTGCATCAGTAGCCTCCCATCTGCTGATTGACTACATGTTTTTAATTCAAAACAGGAACCACTCCCTCTCTTAAAATTCATTGATAAAACTCATCAGTTTGCAGCATCCTATGAAACTGACTCATGTTTTTTTTGAACTATTAATGAGAAATACCATGATCTTAGATGACTAACTAGAAACCAATGACTTCAATAGAGGTAATAATGGTAAGTAGGAATTTCTGAGAAATAATTGTAATCATAGTAGGTAGTGAAATCACGAAATTATATAATGTAGAGAAATCATGGAAGAGAGTTTATCAGATGTTTTTACGCAAAATCTAGAATTTTCTACTCTCGAGAAAAAAAAACAGCAAATAAACATCACAATGCGTGGCAAACAAAAATGGTGACTTGTAAGATACGACGTACAAGTATAAGATACATTAGCCACCTAGAAATACTATAACTAATCAGAATGGATTTAGGTAAGCTATTTGCGTCGTTGGTCAACAAAGAAATGCCTTATTGCCCAGTTATTGTTGCTGTAATAGAAAACGTATAACAATTACTCACCAGCCAGTGTCGCGCAAAGCGCGAATAATATTGCCTTCATTCTTCTCTGGATTCCCTCAGACTAATTTGAGGTTGTTCACGAAATACGCGAAAAAAATTGCTCTTCGTCCTCAAAATAAGCCTCTCTCCCACAAATGATCCACTCCCAATATTAACTGAAGATGACTGGCCGACTTCCTGTCACTGTAGATAAAGCGCACTCGCTGTTGTCAACGTTCTTTTCCTCTGAAAAACAACTCACGCAACAAAGTACTCCAGCTTTTGGCCAATCAGAATTGCGCATCATTGGTCACGTGATATGAATTTTGTTAGTTGAAGTTTATGACACCATTGCGAAATTGCAGCAGCACAAGAATACCAATGGAGTAGTAGTAGATTTAACGTTCGTCGATAAATTCGTGAAAATTTCTCTTGTACCGACTTACGCTTCATGTTAAGAAAGATGTTCCATATTATATATTTAATACGAGTATAATTCAAATAGTGGCGCTGCTGTGCAAGAACTCTGTTGAAAACTTTATTTACTAATCCTACTCGTGAAACAAAAAAAAAATGGAACAATGAGAAACAGATAATTTATTATAAAAACTAGGATATGTAGTACAATTAGAATTATCTTTCACGTCGTGTAACTCTCACATGCAAACCATTTTTCGCTCTGATAACGAGTTCGCCAGTCAAGCTTATTTCCTCCCGTCGTTCTGCAGCCTCAATTTTAAATTTTCGCAATACACCTGAGATTATAACTTTCTCTTCTAAAAGTGCAAACTTTTGTCCTATGAATTAAAAATGTATACTGTTAATTAGTTTTGTTGAATCATATTATAGATTATATCGTTAAGGCTCGTACCAATACAATTTCTTGGTCCTGCGCTGAAAGGTATATAAGCGTATGGATGTCGACCAGTGCAATTTTCTGGTAAAAAACGATTTGGGTCAAATTTATCTGGATTAGGAAATACTGCAGGGTCGCGATGTAACATTGGCAGGATCACCATGGCTGTGGTTCCTTCAGGAATAAGAAACTTTCCTATGAAATATAAAAAAGGTTAATAGTCAATATTAACTTTCATAGATCGTTAAAACAATATTTACCTATGCGAACATCCTCTGAGATTCGTCGCGCTAATAAAGGAACACTAGGATATAATCGGAGTGTCTCTTTAATACATCTTTCAAGGCACTTCATACTTTGCAGATCACGCAAAGTCGCTCGGCGTCCATTATCATTCTCACCAAAAATATCAGCCAATTCGGCTACCACTTCATTCTGCAATTCAGATATTTTTCTATAGAGTTTATTCAAATGTAAAAGGACAAAGAAATTTATACTTGAATATTTGGATGGCATCCAAGAAGATAAAGCGTCCAGCTAACGGCGGAGGAAGTTGTATCATGTCCCTGATAAATAATTTATATGATTGTATAAATCTTTGAATTTCAAAATTCTAAGGAATTAAACTGTCGTACCTCAAACATAAAGGTGTCAACCTCTTCACGTATATCTTCATCAGAAAGAGAAGTTCCATTTTGTGAGGCCTCTATAAGTAAATCTAGAAAAGCCAGTCTCTTGCGTCCTTCTGAATTTAGGTATAAAATAAAAATTAATCATGTAAATCAAATAAATGTAAATGTTTTTCAAAATTTCTCTAATTATACAGAGAATAACTAACCATCCTCTGAAACAGTCTCATTCCGTGTTCGTTTGATTTCACGACGTCTTTCAGCTATTACCTGTTTCACAATAATTATTTAATATTAAAATATTCATCCTCATCTTGACGTTCGATTAATTCAACTATTTTAATTATTACCTTATTCGAAAATCCATGAAGTATACGAATACATTCTTGATGCTTCTTATAGAGCGACGTTAATCGAAACAAACAATCCGGATGATACCAGAGAGTAGCCTGACGTGTTTGAATGATACTTCCAATTCTAAAAAGAAAATTTTATTAAAGATTTTGTAAAAAAATTAAAGTTAAAAATGATCATAAACTCACTCATACACAGCGCGCACATAGTCACTGTCACTATCGTATTGGGCAAACACTTGACGACCCATGGCGGTTTCTACGAGTGATCTAGGAGTTAGCATAGTTTGTTGAGAATACATGTCATTAGATTCTTACCGCAAATTATATCCAGGGCGCAGAGAGTCACATAGGGAAAAATATTAAACGAATCTTGGCCAATTTCACACGAAACTTTGTTAACGAGCAGTTCAGTTTGCTCGGCGAAAATCTCAACAAAATCCTCTAGGATTTTGAAATGGAAGGTGGGTGTAAGTATCTTCCTTCGATTATGCCATTTTCTTCCTGACAACCAATTATTCTCTCGATAGCATCATGTCATTTGTATTAAAACATATTATTATTCAATAATGATTCTTTTACCAGAACCTGTCAGTAGACCCGTTCCTAACCACGGCTGAAGGAATCGATAATCAGAGCTCTTGTCGATATGGCGATTACTTCCTAAGATGGGTTCTACGGTAGTTGCTTTGCTGAGAAATACGTAAGGATGGTTACCAAGCCATGCTTTATTGATCCCCTCTTGATGACCCCATAAAAATCGCATAGCCATAAGTCGTTGAAACAATTCTAGTAAAGAAAAATTAACATTTTCGTAAATCTAAATACTCTTCTAAAGTGGTATAAATTAAATAAACATGACAGCAAGAATAACTGTTTCCGTGGTGTAGTGGTTATCACATCCGCCTAACACGCGGAAGGTCCCCGGTTCGATCCCGGGCGGAAACAGATTTATTTTTACTTTTTTTTTTTACTATAAACTAAAATTTTCAATTAATTTATTAATATCCAACGAAAACTCAAAAATGTTACAAATTTTGTATTACGTTTATTGATCCAGACACAACATGACACATTCACATAAATATTCAGTCTGATGAACATTAGACAAAACTTACCATCATGATCCACATTAAGTTCTACAATATTGCCAAGAATCGGTAATCCAGGTGGACCTGGTATTTTTTTAAAATATTTAATAACTCGTCTCCTTTTTTGCCACCAGCGACAGATCCACCATAACAAAATTACTAACACCACGAATAACCACGGATTCATTTTTCTACTGATAACAGTGGCGTCCCATAACGACCACTTTTTCGTTAAAAACACACAAACATGTAAAATTACAGAAGACTCCTGTACATCAGGCAGTATGCTTTGTAAACTATCGCACTGCATAAGTTCTACGTAATACGGAATTAATATTATGTTGAAGTCAAGTGTCTTGAGGACGTTTAAATGAAGTAACGTTATAGTTACTGAACGTGAGGGCAATGTTGAATTCTTTGGTATTTTGCTGGGTCAGCTCATGCCTCAAGCACACGTCGTCAAAAAAATTATGACAAATAATCAAAATAATGTTACAGCCCAATATCACGCTTTATGATTTTTTCCAATGATTACTTTATTAGACGCAACATGATCGATTGACCGTTGATGAACATGATTAATACAAAAAATAATATATTTAAAATAATTATGACCAGACCATTGTCGATAAACCATAAGCATTCGGCAACTTACGTTTTATGGTTCATCGTTACATCAGATGTGTGACATTGCCGATTGTCGATAACTCTGTAGTCTATTCTAAATACGGCAGATGACAGAGGCAAACTCGCGTCTTACTATAAATCCTGTAGAATATTGACATAACTTCCAGGTAGTTTCTAAGCAGATACGTATATGCGCGTACGATGCTTTCCTTCGTTACTAAGGACAACCAAGTAAAGAAAAATATTTTGTGAGAATATTCCACGAGTAGTGTCTAAGCTCCTGACGCATAATCAAGAATATATTTACTTTTTACTTCTCGTCAAAGGTATATTAACATATATATTATATTTGCACTCGTTCTCCTAGTCTGCAACATAATTAACAAGCAAGAAAATAATATTGTCTTATACAACAGATTATCTAAATATTTTCGTTACATAAGCGAGAAAAAACAAGAGTAATTTCTGTCAGTGTATATAACAGCTATTAGTACTCCCAAAAGTGTAATCCTATTACAGCATAATGTATATGACATAAAAAATTCAAATACAGATTGTTCTGCAGATAATCATAACGCGTATCTGATTGAGTCCAGAGTGGAAGCTGTGGTCCCACAGGTAAACAGATCAAAGTTGCAAGGTACAGAATTGCTAGTAGCTGTCGCAGTCAATTTCTGGTTAATATGTCAGGACCGACTAGAGAATCAGTAGAAGGGTCGTCTTTGATCCTGCCTTTTCCAAACGAGCAGTCTCGTGCCGCCCTTGTACGAAACTCACCTTCCGAAAACTCACCCTTCAGGTCACGCGCCCCGAGCGTGCAGGAGGGTTAGCAAATCCAATTTTATTGTCTGCTCGTCGAAAATCATCCAAATTACATCTCCCGCTTTCCAGGCACGAAAAGAAGCCGTCGCGACGGTCCCTCGATGTAGGTCGAATTCGAAAACTTCCTCCTCACTCTGTGCTCTCTCTCTCTCTCTCAACAATAAAGAACAAACAAATAAAATAACACGCGACACCTTTAGCAACTGTTAGAGACGATTCGCGGCAGTCCGAGCATCCGACGCTAGACAGCTACCATAAGTTCTACATTATGTTACGGAACGTCCTTTCCTTCTTTACGGCTGTCAGTTACGGATCGTAGTCTATACTGCGTTAACTAAACCACAGAATACAAAAGATATAGAGACGCCGCATGAGTATGACTATGGACTTACCTTCAGGCGTGCACGTAGGCGTGGTACTTCTTTGTCGACAGATGCTGCTAGACATTGGCTTGTTTGCCAATGATGTACCAACAGCCGTCGTTGTCTCCGAACTGGTTTATTTTTATGGCATGCCATAGACAAGGAAAACAAGATGGACGGCGAACGCGACGGAGTGAGTGAAAATGTGTAGTGGTGATACAAGGGACAAAATCACAGTGCCAGAGGAATAAATCGACTGGACTATCTATGCGCACCATAGCCATAGATCATTCCATTGTACAAAAGAGGGAGTGTACACATATTATATATCTCTGGTATATTATAACCTGACCTTCTTTCTCTCTCGCTCTATGTACACACTCCGGGGACAATGGCTCGCAGAATGTGCGGTGTTTGGTCTCCATTAATATCGGATCGACTGGTGGATGGTTACTGCAGGCCCACCTCTCTTGTATCTCTTTTTTATGGAGCCATATGTCTTCCGTGCTCTGCGTCCCAGTGCTGCTGCCGCTCATTTGTCAGCTCGCAATCTGCCACTCTTGCGATTTGATGCCACCAGTCAAAACACACTGGTGCGTCCCCGTAGCACCTACGCCGATTTCCTAGCCAATTTTTTTATATGCCTTCTGTTACTTTTTCCTCTGTTTTTTTTTTTTACAGAACATCCCTTTAATGCCTGATACAGAAGTTCAGCGTGATTCACGTTAGCGATGTGAAAGGCAAACGCTTACCCGTTACATTGTACTAAGACCATAAAGGAGACCGTAAAATGATAAGCTTTAATGCGTCTAATGATAGAGAGTTACGTGAGCACCTAGCGTTCCTCTGGATTACAACATCATTTCATCCTGTAACTACGGTAAATTCCAGTGTGTTTCCTAGATTTATAATAATTCGGTTTCATGGTTATTGTTATAGTGTAAAATCTCTAGCCCTTGGATAACGTTGCACTGGGGGGGGGTCTTTGTCCACAAAAGGGATGAGAAAAGTCGAGTTATCACGAGGGCATTAGAGAGACAGTGGCGAATAAAAAAATGTACACCCCCTTTGGGAGCATTTAAATGATTCGATACTACCCACTGTGTTGACGGAGGGTTCACCATAAACTAAATTCGTACCCCTACCTACATCTGTGCCCCAGGGGTCTCCTTATCTGCGTTTAAATGAAATAAATCCCACGTTGGTGTCGTATGCTGTATTATTTTATACAGTGAATTACGTGATGTCTTTGCTGGGTAATTTCAAAAAATTGCATCATCCTCGGATATATTATTAATTCCGAAATGGCCAGCTCTGAGAGAGTCAAAACAAGGACAACAGATAGTGTAATGCCAAAAAGTCATACATACTCGTCTTTTTTTTTTTAAATATACAACACGTAAACATACAGGGGGGTCCAATGTAAAGTACGCAAGCGCGAAATAGCTGGAGGGTCTGCATTGTATCGTATAATATCAATGGAGGCTCGTCAGGGTGGCGATGATCGCATCGCATTACCAGTGAAGCGTTCTATGAGCGGCTGCCACCACTATGGGTATCTATGGGTGTAGAACCCCATGGCGTATTATGGCGTGCCCTGTCACCCCTCGTGGCTCGGCTGTAAAATAAACGATACCTAATTATACGCGTCCCCGTTCGGCGTGAACCAGAAAGGGCGAGCAAGTGCGCGCGAAGGTGCCTGCCGCTAAATGGGATTACGAAATTACAATTAAGATTGATCGTCGCGAGCGATGCATGTTCCAGAACGACTAAGACTCAGTGATATTGATACATAACCTAGTAGCTTGATGAAAAATAATAATAAAATAAAAAATCTAGTTACACAGACATTGGGATACGATGCACTAAAAAATATCGACTATCAGCCCATTTGATTTAACTTTTTTTTTTTTTTTTTAGTAAATCGTTATAAAGCTTCAGGTGTATTTTTTAAAATATTTTTGCAACAAATTTTAACATCTGGCTTCGTACTGTAATATATGTATATAGGGTAGGTGTCTGCGTTAGAGGGCTCGTACTTTTGGGCTGGGTGATGCCGAGAGGGTGGCTCGCTGTGGGTTTGCCGGGCGATGATTAATTAGCGTTTGATGAATATGTATGAGAGCCAGCCAGCTTTGCTGGATGTGTATATATATATATATATATATATATATATATATATATACACGTATATAGTATATAACATAGGTATAGATATAGCAGAGTTGTAGGAAACATCCCCTGTAACAGTAGCGGATCCAACTCCGAAGCTACCCTCACCGATCCTTCGTCGAAAACCCCAGCCTCGACCCCAACCCCAATGCCAGACCCTCGTAGCGGCGCGTTTCAGCTCGGCTGAGTCTTCGCCGCGTAATGTTTAACAATGCGTTTCGCCAAGCGAACCCGTGTGGCTCCTTCTGCCATTTCAAACTAAATTCTCACTAGGAGTCTATAGCTCTGTACAACCAGCTCTTCGGCAAGTAACTCGAGTTTCTCTCCCTCTTTCATACCTCTCCGAAGGTCTAGCTCGCTCTCTCAACGGAATCACGAATATCGCTGGCAATTTGAATAATCGGAGATATAACCTAACCTGATTTTCCTCTCGCGGGCACAATTTGCCACGGTCTTTTGGAATCGGGTCGACCTTAATCTCGAGCCCGGCTAAATTACTCGCAGTTTCCGTGGATTACGAAATTCCAATGTGAAAGGTCACGTGGACTGGTTGACCTCTGTCAGTGTTATTCCGTAATAGCGTGAAAATGTAATTTATTTTTAAATTTGAAAAAAAACTCGATTTACGCGATCAGACTTTATTATGGGTGGGAGAGAGAAAGGAGAGGGTCGTAAAATTTTTCTTAACACTTCGATTCGTTGTCGCGCCGCGGTGAAAATGTCAAAATGGAAGGCGAAGGCTTAGATTTTGGTTGAGCCCGAAGGCTCCTGGATTGTTCGCAAGAGGAGAACAATGCGAACAATGGCGGTTGGGCGCTGGTGAGCCCTGGCTTACGCGTGAATACAATTACATTATGAACTCGATTACCATTTAAATGGAAACAAACGTGAAATGCTAAAATACGCCGCCCCCTTCGTGGCACGCCCCTGACACTCTGGTACCCAACCGCGTTTCCACGCTCAAGCGAAACACCGTGACCATATATACGTAACATGATACGGCCCTGACTCCTCGATCATCGGTATGCAAATTGAGAGGCCATCCACTTTTTAGAAAAGAAAAAAAGGTCAAAGTGCAAGATTAATCAATCTAAAGATTAATCAATCGTGCAGGTTGAAATTTTAACAACCCCCTTTTATATACCTACCCTTGCATACGTTGATTTATTCATTTTCTATATTCCGACTATTCGGCATCGAGCTTGTATTCTCGATATTTGGAGCCCTTGGGATTTTTTTGTTTTTTTGAGAAAAATTTAAAAATTTGACGCGTCGTCCTTCCACCCCTATTATTATGCAGTTAATTTCTTAATGAACCGCATCGATCGAGGGTGCTTATGTCCTGGACTCGTGCACAGATTTCACGGGCCACCTGTCGCATTGCTGGTGCAGCCTCCCCATTGCTTTCGGGATATTCGACACGCAGGGTGTAAAAGCATTATTTTATAGGGATGTAAGCAGATAGCCGTGAAAATTAGTCTGAATTTGATACCAAGTCGCCGGTTGGTTCGGTATATTACCAACAGAATTATGGTACAGAGAGGAGCGCGTAATTTTGGAGATTCTCCTTAGAAAACCCCTACGGGGAATACACGTTGATATTTGCTTCCACCCTGTCACGGTGTTTGGACGCTTCTATTCAAACCGTCCAAATATTTTCTCCGTCCGACTGTTACCTGACAGTTTGCCAATGACAATAACCACGGCTCCCTCGATTCCGAAAAATCGGTAAAAGAGGGTGTGTACCCCAGGGCATTTAATTCTTTCCACAGAGTCAGGACGAACCGATCCGGCAGAGAACTAATGTTCGCCGAGTATAGCCTAAAATCTCATTTCGCTCCCCCAAATTGTAGCAACCCTTTGACGTGCCTTTAACGGGAATCCAATGCCTCAGTAAATCTAAGGAAGATTCAGGGTTAAAATCTCATCTCCTCCAGCTCAATATAACAATCCGTAGCCAATACTTTTCTTCGCCTCGAAAACCATCAGCAATACCAACAGCAGCACCACCAGGAGGAACATACGGTCCCGTAGGGGTGGTTCCATAGATAGCGGCGGTCGGTGTCACCATCCTGACAAAGGCTGACCAGTAGGAAGGACATTCAGATGGTAATTCGCGCACGTCTAATATACACCCCTATATACGAATCCCCTTTACAGACGATTTCAGAAGCGCCTTCCACACCCCACAGACATTCGCGCGAGAATCAAACCAAATATTGGCAATATCATCCCCTACAGCATTGTCCCCCCCCGTCGCCAGGGGTCGGGAACGATGTCCATTTGAATGCACGATTCCACACTTATTCTCCCAGCAATACCAGCCAGCAGGATATTATAGGATTAGGTTAGCGGGGTCGATCCTTCGAAGGGTGGCAAAAATTTCGAGTACACTCGCGGATCGCCAAGGGTCCTCCAGGACATCGTGCCGGCAGGAAGACCCGACTAGGTCGGTTTGTCGATTTTACAAGCTCAGATTTAGCGCCGGTCGTTCCTGCCAAGGGGTGTAACTGGCTATCCTCCCTTCCGCCCCTCTTCGTCACGTGCTATCCCTCCTGCAGATAGACGGACGCAAATCTCCCTCGATCGACGTTGCAGCACGCGCTACGATTACGCGATTACGCGTGTCATCTCATCCAAGGGTTGGGCGGGGAGGCTGCGATCTGTCGCGCAAGGGCAAAGTGCCCGCCGAACGATCCGGCTCGTAATCGCTGACGCGGAAGATGCCTTCGTTGGACCCAGCCCTACTTTTACACCCCACCGAAATACTTGTACAAAGGGCCCATCTGCTCCCTCGACCTGTCCCCGTGACACCTGAGAGTCGAGGAAAGAGAAAATCTTAAGAATACCATTGCGCCCACTACCCCCCTTAAGAAATTACGTTATACCAAGATTTATGGATCTGTCCACGAATCGTGAATCTGGATGGTCCTGTTAAGGGCTACTTAGGGGACCTCGTACGTGTTTCGTCCGTGTATGCGAATTTCGTGTAAGGGCGGATGCTGGGGCTTTACCCAATAAAGATCTCCCACGCAGGGTACGAGGGGCGTGTGGAATTGCATCCAGTGTATACCTAGCAGGGTTTTCGATGTCGTTCTGGGACAGGCGAGAGGACGTCTCGAATTAAGGGTTGGACTGGCTCGTGGCACGAGCCGCCACGTGACACTGCCGCTTTCTACAAACAGCATTATGCACGCTCGCGCTAACATAAATTACTGTGGGTTTAATATTGGACGTTGGTCCGGACTGCGGGCAACCACCTCCTGGGCAAAACACGCTTAACGCCCTGAAATCGCCGTTTTCACCCTTCGTTAAAGTCGGGCTGGCGTTGCTGTCGGGTAGCACTGAAAGATCAAATGGAATACTTGTAATTCAAAAGAGATAAATATTTGATAAATTCTATTTAATCGTTGATTGGAGAATTTTTTATTTTGAAAATTTTGAAAATTTCGGTTATATTTATTTTCGGCTTCTCGAGGGTCGTCTCGATTTTTCGCAATACGTTCGTTCGTCAATTTTATATTTCTGTAACTCGGTAATTACTTCTTTTTTTTTCTCGCCATGACCTGAGAAAATTCTGGACCAACGGATTCTGGATTCCTAAGAGGGAATGATACCTCGATAAGTGGACACCCCGTTGAGACTGGAGACGTCGCAGACGTATACGTCGGCATGAATGAAAGCCACGTTAAGTTTATGAATGAAATGATGCAGGAGTCCATGAGGATACATGCCCCAAGAATGTTGGCCCGGTCGACAGTTACATTTTAATCCTGGGCAAACCGAGGGTAAACCCGGATGCCGGCTCTTGATATACGATCGCGGTTACCACTACCATTATAGTTTACCCCGCTAATTATACAGTTTACCTAGACAGACCCTAGTCGTAGATACATATACGGACATAAAACAAGAGTAATGGCCAATGATAGCAAATGCAGCCAAAATCAAATAGCCAATAACGAAAGATGCTCCAATTGACATTGCAGCCAACTAAAAAAATTAAAATCAAACAAAAAACTCATATGAACGTCATACAAGAAAAAAAATTTTTTTTTTAAATTTTTGGTCCAGACCACTGGATGCTGCGAGTGTCCGGTCTATTTTTCATGTGACAAACACCCTGTCGCGTGGTTCGAACGCAATTAATTAAAAGATCAAAGCTTATTTATAACCTGCAAGTCAGTCGTCACTCGAAAGTCAGAGATACTACAGGTCTTTTCAATATAAGCGGACCCACGTCTCCCGTAATTCAGAGCAAACAAACACGACCCGCGAGATGAGGCAAACTCGTGATCGTAAATAACGATTCCCCACTACCAACCATTGTGCACAGTTCATCCGAGTATTCACAAATAAAGATGCTGTACTCAGATGAGAATCGTAAGATAGGAAGATGTCACACTTTATAACTTCAGAACTATAAATGAGATTCTGCCTGGGGCCGTTGTCATCGTCGTCTTATGTAATACTCACGTGTGACAGTCGCTATCGCTATACTCGAGCGACTTCATTATCTCTCCCTACTATTCTTCTATCTATATACAATCTTTGTCCTTATGTACATACATGGAATGTGTTATACATACGTATAACTTCGACGCGGGTCACGTTCAACCTTCGCGTCGGCCGATCTTATTCGCGCCGTTTCGCAAAGCTACGCAAATTCCTACGACCCGACGAGATTTTCCTTTTACCAAATTTGCGTCACGAGCTTAAGGTTCGACGAATATCTCGGAGGCTGTTTACAGTGATTTTCGATGAAAATATCTGGACCATTCTCGAAGGATGGAATATGCGTCACGAAGTGCTTGAACTACTTGAATTAATAACTGAGCTACAGCGAGTATAGATAAGATGAATTAATGATTCCAGGAAATATAATTTGTTTTTATATCGATCATTGCGGTAGGTTTTCTTGAATAGTACTTCAAAAACACTGGGTATAAACCCTGTATCGTATTGCACGCTGGGGGACGAGTGGCATACTTCACGTTGGTCGGGCGATAAGAAGAATTTGGATGCATTTAAATTTTGAGAAAAATTTTTTTAAAAAATATTTATATATTTTATTTGTATGTCACAGTTCACGCAACGTCATGAGTAATCTTGTTACTGTGTTGCGTAATCCATATCCGATACCGGATATATCACGAGAAGGAATCTGGGTATCCCATGGACCAGTGCTGGGTGAAAATGTCTCGGTAAACGACAGAAGATGGTACGCGAGATTGAAACCCCACGAACGTCTCTTTGCTCATCACACGTTGAACAGCATCCGAAAGGATCATCGTCTCATCAGACCAAAGGTAAACAAGGCAATAAGAGGCTGATGGGTCGTTTCCCAAGTTTTCTAATAATTTGTATCTAAGAGTAGAGATGGACGAGAGGGGAAGATAAAAAAGAGAGGACAAGACGCCATTCTTCATCCGGGTGGCAAGTATTGATCCAAAGTATGCGAGGACAAGGCGGTGCAAGGACCTAATTTAAATTTATTAGCCGTCTCTAATCAGTTATAACTTGAACGAGCTTCTCGAAGAAGATCAAAGGATTATTGAGCGGATTTCGATCTTGCTGCTATAACCGTGCTCAAGCATTATGCTGAATTTCAGGTACCGCAGGATTCACTTGATCTGGCACTGTCCTCCATTTACAAGCACGATGCCGATACTCTTGTGCCAAAGACGTACGTGCCGATGCAGCCAGAAACATTGGGAAAGGAAACGTGGCGAGTGCTACGTAATCAAATCAAAGTACGTATATAAATAGCTTGAGATTTTCCATTTCGTAGTATTTCAATAATACTCCATGGAATATAGCTGGGATAAATACAAGCGTACTCGAGAGAGAATTTGGCAGATGAATGAAAGAAATTAGTTCAAAAAATTTGGCTCAGCATCGATCCGAGGTCTCGATCTAATTTTTATAAGTAGCATTCGTGACAGTCACTTGAATATCTTATATAATCGAATCGAGATAATGGATATCAATAATTTATTACCGAACGTCAAACAAGTGACAATGACATTTTATATAAATTTTATTCCTCCCGTCATCGTCTGCTTCACCGATTAGATATTGAAAATCGATGCCGATTGGATTTAATCTGTATTTTTTTTTTTTTTTTTGAAACTGTTATCAGACAACATTTTTTCGTATTTTACAGACATACTCGAAGCCACCGTCTCTACTGGGACATCCCGTTAAATATGCTAGACCGTATCAGACTGAGGACGTTGCGAGCAACGTGCGAAAGGGTATCATACAGAGGATACATCCGAGCAGTGTGAAACTGGCGATCGAAGGTCCTCATACGGATCAAACGAATCCCGGATACAGCCGGAAGGTCGATGGAACTTTCTACAGCATCTAACTTCCGGAAGTTGATCAGACACGTACAACCTGACGTGTGATACGAGATGAGCCGCGGGATAGAGAACGTGACAATAATCCTGTTACACGAGGAGCACGATACGTCTGGTGTATTTGTACATGGGAATTTGGTAGAGAAATCTGAGAACCCACTGATACCTCTTTGAGAAGTAGTTTGATAAACTTTTGAAAATCAAGTAATAATTAAATGGTCCTATATGGGCGATTCAGGAATAATGCTATTCAGTTGATCTAAGATATATAAAAATTTCTATTGGCTAGTATCGTAGTAGCGTTTGTGATTTGGTATATACGATAGAAACAATATAAATCTGTCTCCTGGTAAAATGCTATTACGATTGTCAGTTGGTAGTCTGCGCAGTTGGAAAGTGAGTCAGTGCCGAGATGTTCAGTGCTCAGTGCTCAGCGAAGGGGCAGAATGTCCCATTACCCGGTAATCCTTGTTTGTAATAAAGCAGCACCCCGCTGCCTACACCCCTGTGGACCTATTTCACCCGCATATGCTCCTCATGGAATATCATTTATGTCTCACCTCCCCTATGGGTTCCTTGCCCCGTTTAACCCCAAACCACCCTTCAGTCGTCAGCCTATCTTTATACATAGGTGGGCCACCTAATCCAACCATGATTGCGCGTGCAGCCACCCTCGAGTTAACTCTTGGTCTTTCTTTCGCAACCCTTAGAGAATATTTTACGTTAAAATTATCCCTGTGCAACGGCGAGATCGGCATGGTTGATATACATAAGTAGGTTTAGAAATTTTTGTAAAAAAATTTTTTTTTTCTTATGTATTATTTTTGTCTTAAGTAGGTATTATCCAATGTTTTACTTACTTGGCTAAGGGTGTTACCGTCAGGTAGGGGTTGCTCAAGAGGGGTTAAGTAGGAGGGAAATTAAACAGCTTACGGCGAATGGTTGCCTGCATGGATTACCTTGGACATTGGGGTAGATTGATTTGCTCTTCTGGTATAGGGATGGCGTCGAAGCAACCCCCAGGGTTCAGAGGGTGGCCGAAGAGAAGGATCTGAGATACCCGCGGGGTCCCGTGGCCAACCGGCAAGCCAACCAATTACTTGGCCGAGCGGTTTTATTTGTATTTAATTCTTATTTAATTTACTTTTTACGGCTTCCTGACTCCCGGGCGCCCGTTAACGGAAACGGAGTGAGGGATACCACCCTCTTGAATCTCACTGCAGCTCTGCACGGGAAGATTCTTCAAGCGAAAGCGATCGCATCACTAAAACGAATCTACGTAAAAACAAACTTTCAAGCGACACTTATACCGTCTATCTCATCCGTAATAAAATTTTGAAAAAAATTTCTCAAACAAACCAACGGCACTAAAGGTACAAAACGCGTATCCGATATGTCGATCACGTTCTATTTTCAAGTCGAAGTCTCAATTTTTTTTTTTACCAAAAAATACCCAGACACCCACCCTGCTGCGCGCGCGACAGACGCACCAAATAAATTCCCGAATGTTTTCCAAGATTTAGAAAGTTATCGAAACCGACTTTCCAAAATAAATAGAGTCGGCAGGTTCGGCCCGTGAAACGGCTCTGACTTGGTTACCACAGTGGTACTGTGGCACAGAGTGCCTATCTGAGCTTGTTCATACGTACAGCCATCCTGGCAGGAAAGGCTGTACCAAGGGTCGGAGTAAAGACGCGTTGATCCCACCGGGATGAACCCGCTATTCCAGGGAACTTGTTACGTTATATTTATCAGAGCTAGGCACACGGCCACCTACGTCCGTCGCTATAGGCTTCATTTATTTATACCATGACTTTTACCATCCCTTGCACCAATACACAGTATTTCCCGATCCAAGTACTTGGGTGCCATAATCATACTGTTATTTTTTCCATCATTCCTCCCGACACTCGAACGGTCTGATTCACTTTGAAAAATATTGACCATCGGTAAAAAAAATCAGTATTTGAACACCCCCTTGGTCTCGACGGTACCAGGTACGTGTCTTTTGCTAATTTCACGGAGCTACCGCGAAGAACAAATAACTAAGAAAAATACAATAGGATTTACAACCCCTAGAAAGAATGTTCCTTCCGGCTGTTCGCAAGGGTGGCTCAAGTAGCTTATTTTTTAATTTCATCACAATATGCTCGCACGCTGCTCGAGTATTTATTTAACGTTTTAAAATTATTTTAAAAACAAGTCCAACCGCATTCTGACATAGGGTCGGAACGAAGTAACACCAGCACCCTTGTGACAATTGGCAAAGGGGTTAGGTTAGGCAGGGTACCTACTGTGGGAACTGGTTACCCACTTGTTATTCATATGAACATTTAAAATCACACTAGATACATTGTCTTGCACCGAAAAAATTTTTCCAAAATTATTTTCAAAATCACGCAAAAAAAAATTTATAAAAAATATTTATCTCGACGTACCTTTTCTTTGGTAATACAAGTACAAACTTATCAGTCACATTGTCAGGGCACGAGATCCATGGGATTCTAAGGGTAGTTCGACATTCGCACGGACCTCCCCACGCTGTTAATTAGACGTTTCTAATTATAGGAAATTTCTAGAGCCCTGCCGATGAGCGTAGAGAGCGTGCCGCGGCAGTAGCGCCGAGGATCAAAATGCAGCCCTCTTGCGAACGAACCAAGATTACCTCGAGGGTCCTCACCGTTTCACCATTCGTTACCGCCATTGCTACCCTTTACGAGCCAACCTAACCTACAGCTACCAAGAGCAGCCCAGCTCACTCCTGGCCTACTCCAAGGATTACTTAAAATAACACCAGACTGCCATCCGAGCGGGAACGATTTTATTATCCAGCAAATGGATAGGTATTTTCGTTTAGGTAATCCCCGTATACAACCGAGACCTCATTCTATTTCGCCTTCGTTCTCCAAAAATTTTCTGACACCGTAAACGGCAAAGGAAAAAAAAAATAGTCATAGCCTTCACTCCATGGATCCTACTGTATCACGCGCTACCGTCCCCAAGAATACGGGGGCACCACCGGTGCTATTCTTATTCGAATATTTTCATTAAATTCCAAGATCCGCCATATTTGTCGAGTGGCACGAGTGCAAATATCGGTTTTGCGATTCGACGGACGAGATACGTGACGGTACCGCGAATACAGGGTTCCCCAAGGGTTACATCCCCTATCCGTGTGGCACGTGGGAACATAGTCACGCATACTTCATATATATATATATATATATATCACCCTCCTCGGAGTCTCCTCCTCTGACACTGTGTATCACGCTCCTGATATCCTTGACAGTAGGGCCCCCTATGCGAACGAGCCCAGAATCTCCGCCCCTGAACGTACTATACCCTCCACGAAAATAATAGTCTCAACACTCGACGGATTCAGGCGTCCGTAAAATCTGACGTACAGGATATCCCACGTGTCTGAATGGGACTGGGTACAAGGATAAGCAACAATTATGACGTCTACGTATGACTGACGTTTCCATACGTTCCTGAAGGGGGGGGGGGG